TTCACAGTGAAGAAGAGTGGGAACAATCGCATGGGAGAGTGGGGCGTAAAAAAGGTTAAATCAAATACTTTTAGTGCAAATATAAAGAGAAAAGCATTTTTTAAGTGGTGCAGTGACCCGCGTTGGAAGGGTTTACGAGGTGTATTGCACGTATCCCCATGCCATGTCCAAAACTGTCCATCCACACGTGTGTCCATTAAATTGGTTAAGCCTCACGCATATCTCGGGGTTCTTCTATGGTCGTGGCAATCCTTCAACTCCGTATAGAGGGTCTGAATTTTACCTTCGAATCTACACACATCCCTTGGAAAATATAATAATTTCTTGGCGGCACACGTTCGGACAGTTCAGTGGCTCTGGTAAGCCTAAAAGATGATTGATCTTTTGAAAAAAGTGACCTTTTTATGGTTGAAACATATTGCCAATGAAAGGCCAATACCCTTTACCCTTGCAAGAACTCCTGGGAAGAGGTACATCACGAGTATTCTCCCCATTGATCTAAGGATCTATAAGGTGTTGGCATAGAAAAAACCTAAGAATTATACATAGATCGCTACCGAAAGTACCTTGGATTTCATTAAATTCCCTCTGTTACACACCTTAGAAGCATCATCAATTCCAGACCCACTGAAAGGGTATCCCTCGGTCGAAAGAACTCAACTAAAAGCATCCCATCCATGCCTCTTATTCCCTCTTATTTGTTCTGTTGATGTGCAGAGTGGAACAAATACATCGCCCAAAGGGTAAAACGCAGAAATATATACAAACAGGCGACGATTGCGACTCGATTATTTACAATTTGATTTTATTTTCATAGCCATTGACAAACAGACAGGAAAACCCAATGGATGGATGGATGGTGGGGAAGGGTAGGGGGTGGGATGTGGGTAGCATGTGGTAGTGTGTAGTGTGTATTGTGTGTGTGCTGTTTGCCAGAAAGGCATTTTCCCGGGCAGTGAGAAAAATCAATCAAAATCGATTTAAAAGCACAACTTCCGTTGCGGATTTACAAATGCTCATGCGTGTGTGTGTTTGTGTGTGTGAGGGTGTGGGTGTGGTTGTGGGTGTGGGTTTTGTGTCCATGTGTGTATTTGTGGGGGAGTGCGTGTGTCTGTGTGTGTGTGCATTGTGAAAATGTTACCAATTTATTTGTTTTTATGCTCTCGTGTGTGTTTTATTGCCTCTGCTTTTGTTGTCTCTCTGTCATTGTCGCTTTGTTGCCCCTCATCCGAAAGCATTCCCTTCCCTTGAGTCCATTTCACACACTGGCAGAGCCCTCGCCATAAGCATTTCCACTCTCTGCAGAGGAACCATTTTCCTGTGCAGAGCATTTTCCACCGCCCGAGCCTCATCCGCAAGCAGTTTCCGCCTCCGAATGCTCCTCCTCCCCCAGAGGGAAATCACTTTGCATGCGTTTTCCCTTCGACACACATATTTGGTCAATTTTCAATAACGGAATTGAAATGCAAACTTACACACACACACACACACACACCACACAGATACAGCAAGAGGGAGACACTCACACATAATCAAGCATTGAAACGCATTTACAATTGGGTTTTTATATTTTTTGGGCCAAAGGATTTGGCCTGGGAACACTCCCAAGCAGTGGGGTGAAAAAGGGTTTCAGGGGGAAGAGAAGGGAAAATGGGGACTTCAGAGGAAGGAGAAGGCGGTCTCCAGAGGAGCAAAAAGGACTGCAGGAGCAAACAGGAAGGAGCAAGAGAAGTGGAAGAAAAGTGGAAAAAAAAACACTGAAAATGGCATAAATACGTAATTCAGGACATTTGAATATTTCATAAGGACATGACCCACATACAAAATAAAACACACACACAAAAATTATTACAATTTTCGGTTCTCTCTTTCCTTCGTTCTCTCAAAGGAAATTTTCGTTTTATTGCTTGATAGTTTCCACTGTAATTGAGTGGCGGAGCCCAAATAGCAGAAGGCTGAGCAAGAGTGCTAGAGAGACAGAGGGAGAGCGATAGAAAGAGAAGAAGATGCAGAGAAAGAGATGCATTGCTCTGTGGAATTTTTCGAATATTATTTCAAGGATGAGCGAAACAACGGAGGAGACAATCTCTGACCTGTGAGAATCTCGTTTGTTATTTAGGAAAATTTTATTTAAATAATTTAAGCAATTAAATAAATTAAATTAAAGAGAGAGGGAGAGATTTTATTTGAATTTGGCATAAAAGATGGCAGGGGGCTTGATACTTGAAATTCAATATTTTCATAGATATAGATTGGCATTTCGGGTTTAAGAATTATAAATAAAAAATAAAATAAATGAAATAATAAATAAATTAAAATAAAATAAAATACTTTAAGGGCTACTGTATTACTATTTTCAGATATAGAATAGTGGCATACAAATCGTTCCCACGACCTATTCGAGTTTAAGTAAATAAAATAAAAAATAAAATAAGTAAAATATTAAATAAATTTAAATAAAATAAAATAATTTAAAGGCTAATGTATTACTCCTATATCATTTGCACAGTTAGTTCATAGATTTAAAATTTGCCCCGTATGCTTTCATGTCCTTCCTTGGTTATCACCCTAAATAATAAATAAAAAATAAACTAGATGAAATAATAAATAAATTAAAATAAAATAAAATAATTTAAAGGCTACTTTTACTATTTTCAGATATAGACTTGGCATACAAATCACAGTTACACATACATCGAGCTGCTACAGATTCGAGTTTAAGAATTAAAATAAAAAATAAAATAAGTAAAATATTAAATAAATTTAAATAAAATAAAATAATTTAAAAATAAAAATAATTTAATGTATTACTATTTCCATATATACATATATAGAATCACAGTTACAGTTCATAGAATTTAAAATTTGCCTTCGTTTGCTTTCATGTCCTTCCTTTGGTTATCACCCATAAAAGTGGCAACAAACCTATCCTATCCATCACTTTGCAACATATTGAAACCCTTAGCAATAGATCACAATCAAAAGACACCCAATTACCGCCCCATTCTTCAACCCCCCCACGAGGAAAGAGCAGAAGCGGCCAAATTGTTGACTGACATTCGATTCGGGGCGGCAGCACCTGAATGAGTGGCCCCTTCCGACCCGTCAAATACCTCGAATCACTCGTTTCATTCACACATATCGCTTGCAGCTGATTGGCATTGACAGACATCGTTCGCGAGTGTCCGAATGTCTGCTGCCCCGCTGCCCCCATGCCACCCCCCCTCTGTACCTATCCCTGGGCGCCTGCCGCCTGCCTTGTCGCTGGGCAACTGCAATTTTGTATCTTGATAAATTACTTATGACTTGCCGCAGACATTGATGAGGCAGGCAGTGCGCGAAGAGGCATGCCGACTGAGTGAGGGTGGGGGGGTGGTGCTGGGCAGGTGACGAGACACGCAGCAGAAAATCACAAAATGCGCACCTGAAAACATTTAGCGATAACAAAAGGCATGACAACAGCGACAAATCAGCGAAGAAAGGGCATCGAATCGTTGGATACCCTGCAGTAGCTTTGCTTTTGGATAGCTATGGGATATAGTCACACGATTGGGAACAGATTATGGCAGATTTATTTCGATTTACTTGATACTGGAGAGCTAAGATCCCTCCGTATCGTAATACTCAGCTTAGAGGGTGCAAAGAAGTGCAAACAAATGGAGAATGAGAGACAAAGAGTGAGCCGCAGAGGGGAAGAAGTGAAAAAGATTCAGTCAGAGTGAGAGAATAAAATAAAACAAAATAAAAATTACTAATAAATATTTATTTGTTTGCCTCAGAATTGCTGCCGCTTTCCACCTCAAACCCCCCCCACCACACACACACACACACACACACACACACACCCACTACTCGTACTCCCCCTACCCCACCCGTCTGCACTCCTCCTTCACCCCCTTCTCCCATTCTTATCTTATTCTTTTCAAACTTTATTTCTCTTGTTTTTTTTTTTGTTGTTTCTGGCGATTTGTGTTTTCTGTTTCTGTTTCTGTCACACTGTTTGGGCGTCTGTGTGCCTGTGTTTTGGCAGCCAACAAAGGCGACAACCAAATCATGGCACGGGGGGTGGGGTGGGGCCGTGGGCCAGGGAGACGGCTCCAAATCGATGAGACGCTGGTCGTCGCCTGCCTGCTGACTGGAATGAAGGGGAAGAAATGAAGATGGAGACGTCGCCAACGGCGTCGGTGGGGACAGTTAATGGCGACAACGACGGCGCACGTCTGGCAGCAGCAGCAGCACAGCCAATGGGCAATGGGCGATTGGCGATGACGGTGACGGTGATGGTGTCGTCGACCAGACAAACCCCGCCAGAAGGCAGACAGCGGTACGAAATGACAGCGGGACAGACGCCAAGAACTTCAGCCAAGTGCAGAGGATATTGGAACTAAATAGGAGGAGGATGCCTGATTAGAAGGGGGCGTTGTATTCACTGTGAAACTTTATGGAAACTTTACAAGAAATAAAAGCTCTAAGAACCGCTAGAAATTGGTCGTTCTTCTGTCATACCTTATATCTGAAGAAATCCAGAAACTATGGCTATATCTACATATCTCTAAGTCAACCCATTGTAACCCATTGATCCGAGAGTTATGCACAAGCAGACGGCTCCAAAAACAATAAATGCAAAATCTATGAAATCATAAGCTCAAAAATTTATATACAGACTGAGTACGGGTATAAAAGTAGAGTCGCATCCCCAGAAGCGACTCAAACGTTCCTTCTCGTTTTTTGCTGTTCTAACGGTTTGATTATCTCTAATCGAACTGCAAGCCGCACTGAATCGATGCAGAAGAACTTAATTGAGCATATGGAATATAATCAACCTGAGCTGCACACGTTTAGTTATCTATAAAGCTATATCTGACATTGAATGAGTAACAACAGTCGAAAGATCTCGAATCGCTATCAAGCAGTTCGCAGCGCATGCAACATGTTCGTGCTTGTTCGCGCTTGTTCGCGCTTGTTCGCGCTGTGGTTCTGCTCGCTCTCTGGCTTGCGCGCTCTGTGTGACAACATGTTCATCGGCGCTCGGCGCTCTGGCTGTGTGTGGCTCTCTGGCACGCTCTTTCTCGTCTCTGGCTCGCACGCCGCTGTGTGATTTGACAACCGGCGTACAGTGCCCGATTGTGTGTTCGTACGCGTCCAGTCCATGCAGCAGCCAGCGCAGAATATGGAGCGCTCCGAACGCTGGGTGCGGTTCTTGGAGCAGTACAGCCAGCTGCCGCAGCTGTGGGACTTTGAGTCCAGCGAGTACAAGGACCAGCGGTGCAAGGCGGCTGCCTATGCCAGTCTGCTGGAGGTGTATCACGAGATCGATGCGGAGGCCACGGTGGATGCCATGCGGCGGAAGATCAACAGCATGCGGACGTGCTACCGCAGGGAGTTGCGCCGCGTGAAGGAGAGCAAGAAGTGGGCCCTCAAGCCCGAGGACATCCATGTGCCACAGTTGTGGTACTTTGATGCACTCAACTTCTTGCACGACAAGGTGGGACTCCGGGCGAGGCGGCGCTCGAGATCCAAGGACGACACGGACTGGGAGGAGGAGGATGACCACGAATTGGACACTCATCCAACACCCAACACTCACGACGATCGGCAGCATTCCATTGTGAAGTTGGAGCCGTATGTGAAGATGGAGCTGTGCTCATCGCCACCCACACAGAGTTCCAGTCAGACTGCCCTGAAGCGTGCCCGTTCTGTGAGCAGGGAGCTGGCACCTCCATCAGATGCCCGCCATAGCCGCGACGAGGCTGCCATCTATGCCGAGGGCTGGGCGGTGGCCTATCGAAAGATGAACGAGGGCCAGAGGCTGCTGGCCAAAAAGGCCATCGAGGAGGTGCTTATTTTGGGCCAACTCAACAAATTGCAGTTCAACGCAGTGAAGATGCCACCCAGGGAGGATTAGTAGCGGGTGAGTGTTAGCTATAGATCAACCACAAAAATGAGAATTTACTAGTGCTATTTGGGCTGTGAGAAATGAAGCGGTTAAAGGTTCTTAATACACAATTTTCCAGGCATACATCCGTGGGGTGCTTAAACTGTTTGCATTTGCCTCATTGATTGTGTTTTTTCTCATCTCATCTCTTTTCTGCTCTGCACACACACGCGCCCAACAGTAAACACTCCTGAATTGAGTCTGCGATTCAGTCAACAGGATAGACACTCAAGAGGGGGGGGATACAGTACCCCCCAGGGAAAAAAGGTTGACGTTGACTCTCTCCGCTGTAAATCCAGCCGAAAATAAAGCTGACGGAAGCGCGACATTCCCGCGGTGTACACTGTACAGTGTGTACACCCTCAAGTATAATTCGCGTATCTTTTTGATTCCCTTCTTGTTGTTCTTGGTTAAACACGCAATTTTCCACTTTTTGGCCGCCGTCTGCCTGCCTGCCTGCCTGCCTGCCAGCCTGCCTGCCTGCCTGCCAGCCTGCCAGCCTGCACGTGCTGAATTGTTGGACTAACAATAAAAACAATCAGTCAATAAGTAAAATTAAAATAATAACAAATTTTCGTGAAAGAAGCACCAGACAAATATAATCAACGAAAAACAGAATTCCAGGGGAGGAAAATCTGTACATTTTTCCATTTAAGTCGTAAAAATAATTTCATTTGAAATTTTTTGTTTAGACCAAAAAAAAAAAAAAAAAAACCAAAACGAGCGAAAGTGAGCGAAGAGATTATATTGATGAGGGGGGAGGGATCTGTGTTTAGAGATTCTCTGCGTAAGAATATTAAGTAATGGCTGTTCAGGGAATGTTTTTTTTCTGTTTTCTATTTGTTTATAAAAAGCAGCAACAAGTTGATTTCTGATTTCTGATTTCTGGTGTGGGGGGATATTGGGATTCGAAACGAATCGAATAAATATGTTTAATGATTGCTTTTATAATGCCCGCGAAGAAGGCGAACAGAATTGCGCAATGAAAATATTCACCCAAAATAAAATCAATACATAAATAGAGTAAGGAAAATAAAACGAAAATAGGAAGGGGAAAGGAAAATGGAGCGGGCGGTGGGGCCAAATCAAACTTATGAAGGAGGTATATCATCACCCACCCACACTACACAGCCCAAACCTCCTTCTCCTTCCCCTTCCCCTTCTCCACTGCTATTCTTCTTCATGCAACAAATTGCTTTTCGCCTTTGGAATTGCTCATTTTTCTTTTTTCCCTTTTCGGCTAAAGAAAGTTTTTCCCTTTTTTTTTTTGTTGTATTCAAAAGGAAAAAAAAACCGAAAGAAAGTCCCAGATATATCCTTTTCTTGTGGCACTCTCTCATTGTCGCCGTGTCCCCAGCCCCCGCCACGTTTCATGCCACACCCGCAACAGCAAAAAAAAAAAAAATGAAAAAGAAAAATCAAGGAGTGAGAAAAAATTGTTTTGGCCCGAAACGCGAGGCGAAGGCCTAATCAAGTAACCCGAACACGTTCTTTGTTAGATTTATATGGAAAATATATATTTTTATACATGCAACCCAAGGACCCAACCCTCAACCCAACACACGCCCAGACCGCCTGCTGCTGGGAGGGGTGGGGAGTGTAAAGCTTTCACCCAAGGATAGGACTATGTGGGGGAGTGGCTAGACTTTTGCCGCGTAGTCAAAAGTGATATTTTACATATTTTCCACCGACAGTTTTTCCTTCTTTCAGCTCCGTTCCTTTTGCTGCTCCTTTTTTTTTTGTCAGCTTTTGCTTGAATTTTATTACTTAACGGTTAAGTGTGCTTCTTGGGGTGGGGGTGAACAAAAAGAGAGTGGTGGGCAGAGAGCTTGGTTTTTCCTTTATTTTCCCCTCTTCTTTTACTCGGAAGTTTTTCTCTGTTTTTCTCTGTTCTGCTCCGTTTTAAAATTGAAAAGTTGTAAAAGGATTTCACTCCGGTTTGCCTCCCTTTGTTCGTTTGGAAAATTAAACACTTTGCTTTTCTTTCTTAATTTTTTGTTGGGTAAAATGATCAAACAGAAAACTTTTATTTTAACAAATGTCTGAGGTATGGGGGCCGCTGAGGGATGGAAATGAGATGCGGTATAATGGGAGATGGGAGCTCTATGGGATGGGGGGGGGGGAGCTGTGTGGGTGCTATCACAATTACCAGCTGCCGCCGCCGCCGCCACCCTGGGCCCAGCCACCAGCTGGAGCCCATCCGCCGGACTGACCACCGCCCTGTGCCCATCCGCCGCCACCACCAGCTCCAGAATCCGCTTCGGAGATGATTTTGATGATCTTGACAGCAGAGCCAGCACCACCGCCGCCTCCTCCGGATGACCAGCCACCGCTGGAGGCTCCGCCCGAGGACCATCCGCCACTGGAAGCACCGCCGGAAGACCAGCCGCCACCGCCATGTCCTCCAGAAGACGCCTGCTGGGAGATGATCTTGATGATTTTGATCTCCTGACCGCCACCGTCTCCATGGCCGCCGCCGCCGCCGTATCCTCCACCGCCGCCTCCTGACTGCCAGCCACCGCCGCCTCCTCCACCTGACTGCCAGCCACCGCCGCCTCCTGAGGGTGCACTCTCGTGGATCACTTTGATGACCTTCACAGGAGCAGCAGCGCCATGATCATGATGATCATGTCCACCGCCGCCGCCGCCACCGCCGCCATAGCTGTAGCCACCGCCGCCGCCGCCTCCACCGTAGCCACCACCTCCTCCGCCACCTCCTCCTGAGCCACCAATGAAGCCGGCATGGGCCACGGCGCCAAGGGCGAGCAAGCAGACGAAGATTTTCATGTTGATGATGTTGACCTGTTGGAGATGAACCAAGGCGCTGAACTGATGCCACTACCAGATCGGATCTTCGCTTTTATAGAGCATTTTCGGTCGCCCCTAAAACGCAGACGCAGACTCAGATCGGCCTTGGACCGGCAGCACGAACGATGGGCGCCGGAAGCCCCACCATACAAAACGCAAGAGCGCAGCAGAGGAGGTTGCTCCAGGCCACAATCAGAGACAGAAGGAGAAACAGAGACAGAGGGAGAGGCAGAGACACAGTGGCTCAAGTGGTAGCGAAAGCAAACGGCGAGCACGGCGGCGGTGGGATGATGTCAAGACGTCGCCTATAACTTATTTTCATGCGAAATGTGTCTTACATCAGAGGATTGCAGCTGGGAGGGATGGTAAGCGGTAAGGTATAAGGTTTTGGTAGCAGGAAAAACCCTAGATTTGGGTATTATCGATGGAAAAATATATCAGAAAGATGGAAAACATTTAATTTATACAAATTTAATAACTATAATTAAAGATGTTTATAATATTTAAAGCCAACATTGGCTCAAAAGAGGTTGTTCAGCCACAATAAGAAAACTTGTTTGCTTCATTATAATTATAATATTAATCCGATTGGATCTCTAGTATAATATTAATAATATCAGTATAAATTATAAAATTTTTATGGCTTATTTTCTATCTTAATTATTATAAATGTTACAAGAAAAATACTAGATTTTTCAAGCCACAGTACACTGTAGAAATGATGGCACAAAAGTATAAACTTTTTATCTCCCTTTAAGTACCTTCTAAGAACAAATTTCTCTCTCTATGCTCATTTGTGGCTTTATTTTTGTATGTAGATTTCTGTGCCATAAGTTAGAGCATTCGTTCGTCGACTTGTTCAGACATTTGTTATACTTTCTCGTGATTTTGTTTGGTGATTATGTAATCAAACATCGGGCAACAACAAACAGCAAACAAATGAGCAAACAACAAGAAATGCGATGGCGCTTCGAGCGCACACACACAAATGAGGTTTTTCTGGTTGATCATCCGCCGCCACTCGCTCCACTCGCTCCACTCGCACCACTCGCGCACCACTCGATTCGGTAACCCACACACTCCCGCTCCTCGCGACCTCTGTGTCGACTCGATCCCGTGATTAATGGATGCGGAGCATTACGGAGCCGGAGCCGGACCTCAGAGCCCCACCAGACTGTCCCTGACATCGTTTTGGCTATGCTTCGATACGAGTATTTTCGTGTGCAGCTACTGTCTCTGGCTGTTACGCAGGCCGCCTGTCCTTAGGTCCAAACCCGGCAGATCCATTCACCTATATCTTTGAGTGTATCCATTCTGCATTCACTCATTCATCACTCCATCATTCATCATCGCGAGTGAACTATGTACAATATAGGGGGGGGCAAAAGTTCTCTCAATGAGCCGTCAAGTTCTCATTAAGACGATAGCCGCAGAGCCGTAGAGCCGCAGAGCGGCAGAGTCGCGTATGCAAATTTCCAATCAATTAATCAATTTGTTTTGGCCAATAAATATGACTAAATATGGCCAAAACGATCACTGGGCCTGCAAATAAAATGATAAATGGATTTTGCTTTTAACTGATTTTTGGATTTATCTTTTCTTTTTCTTTGTTTTTTTTGCATTTTCTTTTTGTGCAAAAATAAATTCAATTAAACAAAAAAAAATATATTTCCCTCTCAAATGAACGTGGGAATATTTTTGTGTGCTGTGTTTTTTCATTTTTTTTTTTTGCAGCCACACGCATGACAAAATATGTCATGCCACACACAGCCCCACTTGCCCCTGTAAATGGGCAATGCATGCAACATGCTGCCGCTGCTGCTGCTGCCAAAAACAGTTTTTTCATGTGGGAAAGAGAAGGTTGTTTTGGCCTTAAATATATGCCTTGGATATGTATATTTTTATGGGTTTTTATTTTGGGTAATATTTTAATTAATAGATGGCTGGCTGGCTGGCTGGCGGCTGGCAGAAGGAGAAAGGTTTGAGCGGGTAAGCAATGAATGCATTAATAGCTCTATTAGCGGTTAAATGTTGTCGATTTAAGTAGATTCGTGCGGTTATGTAGAAAGTTCATCGAATTAGAAGCAGAATTAGTGCCAGGGGTCGATAGAGTTCTCTTAAATGAAAGAGTGAAGAGGTTTATAGAAAGAAAACAACAAGATTCCATGGGAAGTTTGAGATGGCTAGAGAGTAGAGGGAGAGTATTCTTTAAATGGAGTTTTCTTTATTTTAGATTCGTTTATATTTATTATATTTATTCCTTACATATTATATTAATGAATGACTAGACAATGACGAGCTGACGACAGCTAGAAAATTAACCCACAAAGCAGATTGTTCAGTGATCAATTGGGGAGTAGACAGAACCCATCCCAAAGGAATTAGGGTTTAGCGATCACCACCACGAGACGACTAATCCTGTATTCTGAGCATCCCGTAAAGCCTTTGTAGGATAATTATCGCTTCTCTTGATAGAAAGGTACTTATCTGGCACTTATCAAAGGGTTGCAGCTGAGTAAAGACTTTCAAACGCTATCCAAACGAATTAAACTCTATTTCTAAGGGAACTTCAGCTGGGAGACAAGTTGTTCAGACTTTTCTTTTATTTTCCATAGCTCCCAAAACCAGGAAAACACTCTGCGCCCGCCAGGAAGTTGATTAGCTGCGACATTGGTTGCGGTACGAAAAAGGGGTGAAGGGTTTAAGTCCAGCCTGACATTTGCTGGAAAAATATATATCTACAATATATGAGTGGAAAAGCGGAAAATAAAGTTGCAATTCCTGCTGCAAGAGCTGTCAAAATGTTGCTGGCTGCTGCTGCTGCTGCTGCAACTGCAACTGTGGCAACTGCTGGGCTCGGCAACCTGCTGACTGTTTGACTGTTGACTGCTGCTGCCCGTCGTTTTTTCCCATGTGAATGCTTAACCGATTGCAAAGTGTATGTTCCCCCTGCCACCCCCCTGCCACACCACCACTCTCTTTGGGGCAGGCACACATAACTGGAGTCAAGTTTTTGGGCTGCCGTTGCTGTTGCCACTTGGTTGATATTTTTGTCTACAAAAACAATTTCGACAGTTGCGCATTTTTCACGCTGCCTCATTTGCAGCGATTTTCAATGCGATATGTTGTTGTTGCTGCAGTTGCTGCTGTTGCTGTTGCTGCCTGCCACCGATTGTTGCCGGTTGCCGGCTGTTGCTGTTCACATAACCATAACTCCGCTTGCCACCTTTTCTGTGAGTTTTCTCAGTGATTTCCTTGCCTTCAGGATCGTGACACAGCAGCGGCATGTGGCAGCGGCAGCGGCACAGAGCTCTGCTCCATGTGGATGTTGCAAGCATTTTGTGCTTGCTGCAGCAGAGATTAGCTGCTTGGGCCCTAAATGAAATCAGCCATAAAGCGGGGCCTTAGAAACCTTTGCTAATATGTCATGAATGCCAATCGGTGCAGCACACCAGAGTGCTGGCACCACCACACAGCACCACACAGCACAGCAGAGAGTGGAGCGGCAGTCCATGGTGCTGGTGCTGTCTGGTGCTGTTGCTGGTGCTGGTGGCTCCCCACTCTGGTGGGGTCAGCGCATTGGGAGCATTGGGCAATTGGCATTTTGTTTTGAGACACGGTTATGCTGCCGCTGCTGCTGCCCGCTGCTGCTGCTGCTCTCTGTCTGTGTTATGTGGCAGGCGGCGGAAACCAGTTTACCGTTAGCACACACATGTGTCCCAACGGCCCAAACGACGGCGACGGTACAGTGGTGACCCATTAATGCAATCAGCGAATGACTCCAACAGTGGAGCAGCAGCAGCGGCAGCGGCAGCTTGGAACACATGTAAGTCAAGTGGCAAACTGTGGGGCGGCGGCGACTGCTTCAACACCGGACTGGACTTCCCCTGGGACAGCCATCGCCAGCTTGGACTAAACGCCCCCTCCCCACCACCCCCTACTGTACCTACTGTTTCGTATCTTAAGTTTCAGTCACGGGTTGCGGCTCATTACGCAGTTTTGGCTTTGATTTGCATACAAAATTTGAATGGAACTTTGTGGCCAGCAAATCGAGTTGTTGGCCCCTTTGGGAGGGGTGTCTGTTTGTCTGTGTGTGTCTGTTTGTGTGTGTTTGTGTGTGCTCCCCTTTGGGGGCACCGCTTTTGGATTTGTGTGACATGTGCAATGGAGAATTATTTGCTTATTGTTCAAGCAAACATTTGTGTGACTGGCCGTTCGACTGGCCGTTTGGCTGTGTCTTTGAATAACTTGTAAACTGTCAAAAGGAACATTCAAAGCACCATTAACCCATTAACCCATTGATGGCGCTGTTTGTAATGTGCCGCAATGGGAATTGATTGAGCAACTGCAGCTTGGGGTATTACCTACATGGGGTGGGGTGTGATTTACCCAACAGCTTTAAGCTGATTCCTCAGCTGATTTCCAATCTGTTACGATTCTTTTTTGGGCTGCAGCTCTGCCAGAAGAGCTGACCCTTTTCTGCTCTCTTATTTGTGCCTTGGGGTCAGCTGTAATCGCACTAAGTTTGCCTATTGTGTTGCCAGACAGATCCACGCTCTAGGGCGCCCAATGGGTTAACATTTTACAGCCATTCGCCTAGTTAGTGCCTGTCATAATTCCATATTCAGGCGGCATTCCTGCACTGCATTCGATTGTCAATTGTCGATTGTCGTTCGGGCAGACACGCGGCGTATGCGCAATTTCCAACTGCATTCAATTGCATTCTCAGTGGCTTTTTTTCTCTACTCTTTACTGGCCATGTCACATTCGCTTTTCGTCTCAATTGCAATTGAGAGACAAATTGCGACCCCTTTGACAGCTTGGAATTTGACTTTTTGATTGACAACAGCAACAGCAAGCAGCGAGCAGCAGCAGCAGCGATCTGTGATCTGCGCTGTGAGCGGTGGAGCCGCAGTTTGAAGTTGCAACCAATGAATCGATTTCGCAAAGCCAAAGCCAAACCAAACAAAACAAAAACAGCTTTAAAGTTCAGTTTATTAAACGGCGACCTCGAAAACAAATTCAATTATGCAGAAAAGTAGGAGGAGATGGCGAACTGAGTGGGGAGAGCCAGCGGGGGAAGAGCGCGGTGGTGCTGCATTGAGAAACACAAAAAAAAAGC